ATGTGTTCTTACAAGAGGATTGGCCTGTCTCTATTGACCAATCTTGGCTGCTTAATCACAAGCATCCCCATCATTTCATCCAGTTGGTCGTAGTAGACATCCACTGTAATCAGTTGACCAGGTTTCATGAAGCTGTAGTGGATAATACCAGCGCTGGACCACCAACCAGACACCATTAGCTTTTTTAGATGAATATTCTGTTTTGGTCTGTGTTTCAGCACTTCATCTTTATCCAACTATTGTGCCAAATGCTTGCGATTGTCAAAAAGAATACATTTTTCTGTCACACGTAACAATATGTGTAGAAATGGTTTGCCTTTATGTCATGACAGCAAGGAAGGCAAGCTTTGAGATGATTTCTCTTCTGATGCTTGTTTAATTCCTGTGGAACTATCTATCCAGCTTCTTTACCTTGCCCGTTTGTTTCAAATGGTCCAATATTGTTGGAATAGTAACATCAAACTTTGATGCTAATTCACACATAGGTAGAGATGGATTCACTTCCACTATAGCTTTCAGCTCATCATTATCCACTTTGGTGTCGGGTCACCCACGTGGCTCATTTTCAAGATTAACATCACCAGAACAGAACTTCTGGAACCATCGATATACTGTGTGTTCATTAGCCACATCTTCCCAAACACTTCACTGATATTTCCAGCTGTCTATGCTGCGTTGGTTCCACAACGGAACTCATATTCAAAAATAACATGAACTTTTTACTTATCCATGGTTTCATAAAAATTGCTCTAAAGAAGTGTGAAAGATAATCACAAGCCAAAATGTGTGTTTGAAAGACTGAGGATGTACCTTCGCAATAAAAATAAAACAAGAAATGTCAAAGTGAAAATGTCTGAGATATCAACCGTCAAACTTAGTACTAAAGGAAATCGGACATTTCATGCTTAATGACCTAATTCATTCATTGGCGTGCTGCACAGCCGTGAGAATCAACAGTAAATAGTTACGTGCAGCTGTGACATGTTCCATGGTACATACACAGTTATGTACATATCGATGAATTTTACATAAGGTGCCAGGCACAGTAGAGTACATTTAATGTTATTTATTAATATATGTAGTACAAAACCAGGCAAAACTAAACCGTAATGGAAATTACTGCAGCAGATGCCCTTGTTGGAGTCAGGGTGTTAACTGGACAGCGTTACAGGGGGAATTCTAGGGTGCCGATACCTTCTGTTTCATTGTCTTGGTGCTGGTTACATGAGTGTGTTATGATTGTGAAAACCCATCAAGCTGTACACATATGTACTTTTATTTGTATTTGTTATACTTCAATAAAAAAAATAAAAATAGGGAAACTCTTAATTTGATCATGTTGGCCTATCATATTAGTTTATGACATCAGATATTGTCAAAATTCTGGATTTAAGTATGCAACAAAGCAAAACCAAAATGTGTCTGGGAGGTTCTTTTGAGTGTTCAGACCAAAGTTTTTAGTTTAATTCACAAAGACAAACTCCCTCCCACCGGGGCCCCCTCCCACGTGCCCAGTGAATGTTGATCTAATGGTGCCACCTCCTGGCCTCTTTCTGGGCTCTCACCATGACAGCAGTCTCCTCGTTTAATTCCCTTTCAACCTCTGGCCACTTTCCTTTAGTAAAAATAGCAAAGCTCGAAGCTAACTAGTGACATGTTATTTTAAACATGCAGCAGCCTATTTTTAATCCTGGCATTTAAAGTTTTAGCTAGTTTGGCAGTAACGTAATCAGGACGGCAAGGTGAAGCTC